TGATGAAACCTCATTGCAAGGACTCTGCTTGTCATGCCCAACAAAATGAGCTAGAAGGTCCATATGAGGCTAAATGAGTAAAATAACCAATCATCATGAAGTTTCGTGGTCATGTCATCATTTGGGATCCAAGCAGATACAGAAAACACACCTGTTCTTTGATACCAGTGATACGGTTGAAGACAATGGCGCGATGCCCTCCGTCGACATTGTAGAGACTGTTGGCAACTCCAACAAGACCAATCCCAGCTACAACCCCAAGCTTGATCAGAGATGAGACAGCACCACCACCAGGGATTTTGGGAATTTTAACATTGTTGAGATCCATCTTTCTAGTAGCTGGAAAATTAAAATGGAACAAATAAACAGTATCAAGCAATAATAATGTGCATGTCAATTCCCACTAGAAACTCAGCAAAAGCGGCACTTCATGCATCCTTACCCAAGTGCTGAAATGTAAATGTGTTCTTTGACTGGGTTTTAAGACATTAATTATTTGTCTCTAGTTCCACAATGTACAGCAATCCAATGTATGCCACAATATAACAATCTAACAGAAAGTGTTTTGCAAATGGGAGACTAAGTAGGTTTATTGCAAATAAAGCAACCAAAGACGATCTAAAGCCAAATGAGCTGCTACCACCAGCTTCAGGTGCTATTTTGCTTTACTGAACTCTTAAAATCAATATGAAAATATAACAAGTCAACTTTTTCTGTATTTCAACCCCAATTACACTCCATCTGCAAGAGATTGTTCGCTTTCATTATCTTCCTGTGATGAACATTAGCATTCATCTCTAACAATTTTCATTTCACTCTATTACCAGTGCATAGTCATAGAAGAAGTATTTAGGTCTCAAACCAGCGACGGGGAGACATCTCGCTTATCTAATCGAAGGTTTAAACCCTCAAAGCTTCAATACAGTGATACCAAACACCGTTTACGATGATAATGCATAGCAATAAGACTACACATATTTTTCTTAATTTTAAAAGAACAGAAGAAAAAGATTCTATGAAACACGGACATGCCAAACATTAGAATGAAGGAGGCGACGAGAGAGGGGGGTTGCGCGCTCCGACGGGGCTGCTGTGCGGCGTGAGTCAATGCTCAGATTGGTTTCGGGGTTTTGAGAGCTCACAGAGCTTTCTACGATTAGGGTTCTGTAATTTGGGCTGATCCCGGTTATCTTGTTTGGGTTGTCTTGGAGTGTTGGGCAAGCTAGTTTCCGACTGTTGCCCAGTGCCCACTCCTGGTATTGGATACGGCTCAATAGTTCACCCGAGGAATACCCGAGTCCCCCGACTCCCAATAACAAATGGATAGCCACTTTACCCAAGAATGTGCATAAATAACTATAATTGAGTTTACTTAGAATAGAAAATAATTTAAAGAAATACTTGTCAAATTAGTTGGAGGTGCAGTCGTTCAACAATACTTCCTCTGTTCGAAAATATTCTTCCCATTTGACTTTTTATGGTCTCCAAGATTGTACTTTGACCACTAATATCTTTATTTATACATAGATATATTTTATAAAAATTTGATATTTGAAAACTTTATTTCAAAATGAATATATTCATATTAAAGTTATATCGTAATACAATGTATTTTTTCCATATACCATAGTCAAAGTTTACAAGCTTTGACCAAGAAAAGTCAAATGAGAAGAATATTTTCGGACGGAGGGAGTATTATAAATGGATACTGAGGTGGCAGTCCCCGATAGCATGGTCCAAGAGGCAGAATCTATGGCCGTAAAAATTATTTACTTTGGACATTATTGTTTTATGAAATTTTTTTAGATTTTTTTGTGAATAAAGTCCAAAGCATTAAAGAATTGGGTGCATGGATAAACATTCAAAATTGGCCCATACCGCAAGAACCTCTTCGCGTAAACGTTTGCTTCTCTACGCAAACGTTCATGCATGTTCATGATTTTCGTTTCAATAAATATAGAATCACGGCTATGTTTAGGCATTGATGTTTGAAGTGTTTGTTTTTGATTAATGTTTGATCCGATGAAAGTATTTTGATATATGTCGAAATAACTTTGATATGAAAACATTTTATCCTTGTTATAATCTATCAAGTCGATCATAACGTCGTTTCGTATCGTTCTTTGTCCATATACAGTTCCTGCAGGATGATGGCGGAATTGGGTGACGAAAATAGGTCGAATGCGAGTGGAGGTTTTTGTCACACATCATTCAACCGTCCATGTTTTTTTAAAAAAGATAAAAAAAGATATACACTTCTAATCTTCTGTACATTATGAGTTGTCCCAAGTTAAAACAAAACACTCCTCATCATGAACCAAATAACATTTCGTCTTTCTCCTCTTGTGTTTCCTGTGAAGCTTCATTCTTTAAAGAGGTGGGGTTGCTCTTTTAGGAGGTAGGGTTGCGTTGAGTCTTGCTTGTTCATACGAAGTTCTTCCAACCTAGGGGCGAAATTAATTGTTTAATGTTAGTGTGCCATTTAATTGTTAAATTTGCTTTTTATTTTTCAATTTTTCAAATTTGCTTTTTATTTTTCAAATTCAAATTAATTGTTAAATTTGCTTTTTATTGTTCAATGTTAGTGTGCTATTTAATTGTTAAATTTTTGTGTTTAAGTGTACTGTTTCAAAAATTTTATTTAAAAACAATGTTTATTTTTTTTAAAATTTAATATGCATCATTAACATTCGAGACATTAACGCTAATTCAAATAAGAAATTATCCTACGTAGAACTCTGAGTCACTCAATATCTTCCAAGCATACTCTCGACCTTTTATTATATTCTAATATTTTTAATCACTTTTAAATATTTGTTAAACTTAAGTTATCCACACAGTCACTATTCTTTATACGTGCGGCTCATCCTCATTCATGCGTCTCATACGTGCGGGGACATCATCCTACGCCGTTTACCATAGCTCTGAGAGATCTTCCTTAACACAGTTTACCAATGCATAATGTCTAAACAAGTTCGTATGAATTAAATTAAGTTCCATATTTAACGTCCATGTTTGGCATGTGTGTTTTGGTGTAATAGATTATTCATTATTTTAAAAATCAACGGAACGCTACCTAATTACTAAATCATTATTTTAAAAATCACAAAAATTTACACATTGATAAAAAAATTATTTAGAAACAAAGTGAGTATTGTTGTAAACCGAGTACTTTATTCATCATATGTCCGGGTATTTATACATACACAGGAAGAGGTAAAGTTTATGTAAACAAAGAAACAAATATTTTAAGTAATATGAGTAATATATCTGCCATATTTAACACTCCCCTTCATATATATCAATATTCATTATACACTAACAACCTTATGTTGTTGAATAATGTTGGCTAAGTTTTTCAGGACCTGTATGAACTGATACTGCATGATCAGTTATGCTAGCTCATTAAAAATCTTAATAAGAAAACCCAGTGGGACAAAACTTAGTTAAGGGAAAAAAAGTACGTGTATAATGTTTTTTCTCTCAAAATGAAATTATACTCCCCCTCAAACTAATGTATATCTTTTGGCATGCAAAGTCCAATCTTCTTTATGAGTTGCTCAAAATTGTGTCTATGCAGAGATTTGGGGAATAAGTCTGCCAAATTTTTGCTTGATTTAACTTGAAGAACATCGATCTCTCCTTCTTTTCTGCAGATCAGATGTTGAGGAAAACTTTGGTGAGATGTGTTTTGTTTTGTCTCCCTTGATGTAGTCTTCCTTGATCTGCGCTATGCATGTTGCATTGTCTTTATATAGAACCGTAGGATTCTTCTTGATTTCTTCCAAACCGCTTGCTCCTTGTATGGGATTGATCATCAATCTCTACCATGCTTGCTCTCAATCACTGTCGTATAATGCTATAAATTTGACTTGATTCGATGTTGTTGTTCACTTGTTCGTTTCGCTCAGTCGACTTCCAAGAAAATGTTGTATCGCCATACGTGAACACATTACCTATCTAATTTCACACTTAAGTTTTTTATTTCAAATCATTTTTATTTTTTAAAATATTTCTTAAAATATAATTTTGAAAAACAATTTTTCATTATTTCAAACAGAACCATTTTTCTTTTCTTTAAGAAAATTATAAAAGAAATATAAAACTCAATAAAGAGAAAAAAGAGGTGTTGGTAAACATTTCCAAAATTATAGGAAGTAGCCACAAGGGATAACGACGAATTTTGAAACCATTGGGATAACGGTGCATATTTACCAAACCACATAGAATATTAGTGCTCAAAATCATGAACTTCAAATCCCTCAAATCGGAATCTAGATTTGAAAGATATTGGTACACCAAGTTTTTGAAAGGGTGAAAGGAAAAATCCGAATTAAAAAGCTAAATGAAGAAGATGAAGAGCCCAGTAGAGACTTGCGACCTGAAAAGCAAACCTCAATGATTCCCTCGGATAAAGAAGAAAGCTTGAGTAGAGACTAGCGACCCAAATTGAAAAAGAACAAGTTGATTCCCTCCTATTTGGGGGAGGGGAGGGAATTGGAAGGAATGTTTTGGCTCCACTCCCTACCATGGAAGGGATTTATTTTCCCTCACTTCTTCTTCAACCAAACAGGCCCTTAAGGTTTTGTGTGGGTAAACATGTTCATATAAAAAGAAGCTTGAAACGAAGCATTAAAATGCTGCGATGCCATATTAACATGGACACGTGCATTCAATAACCTTGTCGACTTCAGCTTACGTGGAAAGAAGCTCACATGTTTTTGGATTTTTCAAAAAATCAAGCCACACACTCACATGTCGACTTCAGCTTACGTGGATGACTCAACAATATACAAGTTAAAGGGGAAGTGCAAATTTTCTAACAAATGACTTGACCAAACGGTAATCCCCTCCTATTTGCATGTGAGTTTTGTTAGGTGAAGTGCATTTGACTGTCTAAAGACAACAACTGGGAAAGTTTAACAAACACGCAGCTAAACATCTCATTTTTAGCAGCTAAAATGAGCCTAGTCAAAACAGAAGAGTTGCGGTCTTCAAAATTTAAGCAGAGTTTTTGATTGATGCTGATAGTGAGCGGAACCAAGATGAGTTGAGGTGTAGTTTCGTAAGACTTGAAGAAGTGTAATAAAATCAAGTACACGTGTACTGTGTAAACTTGCGCTACAAATATATTTGATTGTACTGCATCACAGCTTATCAAACATTACCTCCAACCTCTTATGCAATTGGATTAGGTCACTTCAGGTTTTGGCTTCCTCTCAACTTCATTCACACTGCACACGAACATGGCATCTGGATCATGGCTGCAGAAACAAATGGAGTTTACACATGCTGGGATAGAATTCAGATTTCAGAATTGAGGACAATCAACCATACCATAATGCATGTGGGTTACACGAGATTAAAAGATCAAAACAAATTGTTTAGCTAGTTATTTTTAAACTCGTATGTATTTCACTTTAACAAACATACATACATACATACATACATATACACATGTGTGTGTGTGTGTGATTCAGTTATAAACCATAGAAAGTTACTATGTCAGATTGCTACAACGCACATAGATGAAGAAAGAGTTTTCGGTTTCTCTGGTCTTGCAATTAGAAGCACAAAAATACTAAGGTATGGGATCTTGATAGTTCTCCTGATTAGCACAATGCACTCTTAAGTGCAGAAACTTACCAATAGGTACAAGACATTTTTAATCCTGAAAACTCAGAAGCTGTTTGAAGAGATCAATATAAGCAAGAATACACTGTTTTCAACTGGAACAATTGTTTTCAGAAGTTTGATATGAATGTCTCTGAGATTATGCTCTATTCCTCTGGCTACGGAAGGTTACAATTTAACAGTTAAGTCTGTTATTCAGAACAAATTTTGAAGATTAAAGGAAGAACAACCAAACACTATCAAACAGATTCCCACCACATTCTCTAACAGTTTCCAAAACAGATCAGATAGTCATGGTTCTGTTTCTGCATCAATGTCTGCAAGCACAATGACAGATAACACATTCCATAACAGACATGAAAACAGATTTAAGCATTTAACCCTCACACTTAATTCCTAACCATACTGTGCCATCTAAATTGCAAAATATTATGAAAAACCAACAGATTATGAAAAGCAACTTCAATTTCAATCCACGCAGATAACTGGAAAACCTGAGGATGCATGCAATCACATTTTCATCTGTTTGGATTATTTTCAAGCTTAGCCTCTACCCATGTTTAATTTTTCCTGCAACATTTCAAATACAAATGAAACATGAAATACATGCATCCAGAGAAAATAATTATAGAACATAAAACAAATAGGAGAAAAGTGGTATGCAAATTTACCAGTTCTTCCTCCCAGGTTTCCAATTCTTCCCTCAACCGCTTCAATTCAATCAAATCACTTTGATATTCAACAAAATTCAATTATTTATAACAATTAAAAACAATAAAATAGATGCATATAATGAAAATATATTAAAATAACCTGTTAAATCCACTTAGATATATTGAATTCTTGCGACCCACAAAATCCAAGTCACCATTAATGGGAACGAGTACTTCAAAAACATCAGGAACAACTTTCATGGCATCTTCAATGTCAAGAACAACGCCCTCAAAACTAACACCAAATAACTCTTCGATGGACTTCTTTAACACTGGAACAATTGAATCGGTTAATTTGATCTGATGTTTCTCATCCGGAAGTAGCACCGCAGCCCTAACCGCTATCGCAAGAACAGTGCATACACGTCTAAGTAGAGGAGTGTTAAGAAACAGTTTGCGTTTTGCCCTTACTAAGTCCTCATTGTTGGCTTGTTGCTTTAGGGCTGCGGTGGACCCTAAAGCATTCTCAGTAGTGGTGTGTTGCTTAGTTTTCTTTCTTGGACCCAACCTAGCCTTGGTTTGCTGACGGGTCAAATTGTTCTTGTTCCGGATAGGTACTTGTTGCCTTGTTGGACATGAGTTTCAGGATATTCTGGATTTTCTTGGTCAGTGTCTTCTGAATGTTCTGGATGGATGTTCTTGGTCACTGTCATCTTGTACGTTACATCCAAAATCTTTATATTGTTGGTAATCATCATCGTGAATTTCTTGTAGGTTATTTGCATCCTCTGGTGGGGAGTACACCAAGTGAACATGAGGAAAATAACCGGCATCCTGCAAATCCCTGAATTGCACCCACATAGGAGCAGGCACGGAAAAAACTCCAAATCTGGAAAAGCAGCCATGATGGTCTTTGAGGACTTTATCTTGCCTTTGAAAAAAGGGTCAAGCGCCGCATAATCAGCACGAATGAGACATTCAAAACAGGCAGCATCCGAAATCTCTTTGAAAGAAATCCCGACAAGATAGACACCATCATCTGGCTTAGGAAGTGGCGCCACAGC